CTGCGAATATTACTTTCAGCAAGGTAACTCAAATTGGATTAACCTAAATAACAAGTTAGCAAGAGCGGGCGTATTTTCCCATCACTAGGCGATATCAGACTTTTAATTATTCTCATTTTTCAAATTAAACGAAGATTTTTTTGATCATCAATAAGCACAAAATTGTCAATACTTAAAATAAATCCTGTGTTTTGGTGCGTAACATATTTATGAAATTTACATAAGTTAATTAAATTAAAAAAAGTTCTCCAAACGTCCCAAAAACAATCTTAAACCAATATTTGTTTATAAATCTTCTTTTTTGTTATTTTCAAACATTAAATTTTCAGAAAACACGGATTCAAAGCGAATTTCTTTCCATACATTAAGTTATTTGAAGCAAGTGGTTCGTCTCCAGGCATTTGATATATAAACGTGGTAGGACGGTTCTTAGTTATTTTTTTCTAATTCCGCTAGTAATGTTAGCATTTCTTCGAACGTAAGTTTTGCTGTACCAACAGTTTTCTTGAGAGTTCTTTTAGTAATTTGCGTTAATCTTTCAAAGTCTCTACCCATCAAGAAACTGCAGAAAAATTGAAACTCTAGCTAAAACGTTTCGAACTTGAAAAGCTTTGAGTTTCTTCCGTAGAAAAATTTAATCTAATGAATCAAACCCAACGACACCGGGGGAGGGGGAGAGCCAGGGGCCTCACTTTTTTCTAAAGGATTTTTTTTTTTCTTTTTTAAAGAAAATTCTAGATATAGAAGACTTTTTTTAAAAATTAACGATTGTGCCACCCCCTCCCCTCACTTCGAAATTCGTGTCGTAGGCCCTGTGAATTGAAAGAGTGCGCTAAAGCAACCAATAAATCAACGAAAACCATGAATATAAGCTTTCATTAAACAATTCGGAATTAAATCTAAATGAATAAAACATGCACTATCAGATGAAGCAACAAATATCCACGCTTTATACATACCGCAACTTTAGTAAAATATTTTTTAACATATTTGGACCATTTAATTTTTAAAAACATGCCTTTAGTACGTAGAATCCTAAGTACTAAAGGCATGTTCATCATCGAGTATGAATAAAAGTAGAGGCGGAGCATATTTTTTACAGAGGAGCATATTGCGGAGCATATTTTTTACAGGTGTAACATTCCCTAGTTTTTTTATAATGAGCTTTAGATAACCACAATTTCAACCTTAGTTGATTTAGTGTTTCCTTAACACCACAATGTTTATAAAGAAAATGATAATGCAAATTTATCAAATTTGTAATTTTTTTTTTTTTTTTTTTTTTTTTATAATTTAGCCGTACAAATATTTACAAGTTCCGTAATTTAAAATATTTAAAAATGGCAAGGACGAGAAGAAGACGGGGTTGTCTTATCACCAAGTAATACGAAATACGAAATAAGTAATACGAAACTTTTTCGGTAAATACATTGGAAGTTTTGCATTATAATGAGTTTACCAAAAACAACGTTTTAAAAATGTTATTTTTGGTATCTATAACTTATTTTATTTTAAAATAAAGTTTTATCCTTATAACTCTTTATGTGCTTTATAAAGAGTAATAGGGATAAAGACGCAAAAGAAGAGAGCTCAGCGCATGTCGCGACTGCTTAAAAACTTTAATTTAACGCTGGTGCGTTAGCGAGCAAACATAACAAAACTAAAAAGCATGTTGCACCTGCGTTAGTCAAAAAACTAAGCGGCAAATTGTCATTTAACTATGCTGCTCAATCATTCGTGTACCAGTATCAGCTCTTTAAAAATAAAATCCACGGTATAGTAAAAACAACTGCAAATGATTCACCAGAGTTAATCTCATTTAAATTTACATTTTTAAAGCGCCATTATCTCAACTAGAATCTTTGTTATCCCAGCAATTAAAATCTATGTCAGTACCACACCACTAGCACATTTTTAGCTACATACGTTGTATAACATCAGCCCGAAATTCAACTTCAGAGTTTTGTTTTTGTTCTGTTTTTTTTGTTTTTTATAATAATATTTATGATACATATGTTACAAATAATGTAAAAAAAGAAAAACAACTCAAGATATGGTTAAGAAATAAAGTATAAAAATAAAAATAAAGAACGCGGATACTCAAAGAAGACCATAAGGTTTTGTCACAGAGAAACCGCTATTGAAGAAACGTTTTTTTTTTGTTTTTTTTTAATGGTTTTTCTTTTTGTTGTGGTGTTTACGCCTTGCATCAATTAAATTACTGTGTCTTTCAATCAGCTGACTCATGTGAATAATAATGCTCATGATTTTCTAAATAAATCTCTTGTGCGCACTGAGTTTAATTTATCGAAAATAATCACTGAAATTTATAAATTGCTGCATATTATTCACTATATATCACTGTATATAATAAATGTAATCACATTTCCAGACTGAATAAAGTACATTTCCAGATCGTTCAAAAGGTTGTGCAAAAGGACCTAGGTACGATAGTTATCGCTGTGTGTTTAGCCAAATTGCCAAAATTCTAAAATTTTGAAACCCATTTTCAAGGTCCCCGCTTTTACAATTTGTGCCCCGAAACCCGAACTTTTTTAACCAAAAAGCGGGGAACTTAAACATTGACATAAAACACCAATTTTTTTTCTATGAACTCTAAAAGGTCTAAATATTAACTTGGAATTGGTTGGGAAGTTTACAATAAAAAAATATATATTAATTTAGGTCAAGAAAAATAGCTCAAAACGCAATAGCTTCTTATAATTTATAGTATAATTTTTAAGTATATTTAAATAGAATGACGCTTGCGATCAAATTTAACAAACGTGTGTCACAAACAAAAACTATTTATTCTAAAAAAATTAGAAAAGATTAAAAAACGAATTCCTGTCATACTTTTACTTATGCTAAGAATACTTTATTTATTATAAACTGCAATTTATAACTTTTACTTTCAAAATCAAAAATAAAACAAAGATTAAAAAAAAAAGATGCTACCAAAAATTACGAAATCGCCTTCAAAGATATTTTTATTTGAAGAAAAAGTGTTAGAAAAACTTTTTGAACCACAGTTTGCCACAAATAAGGAAATTATTTTTTATTTTCATTACAGGTATGATTAAAACATTAAACTGATTATAAGTTATCATTCAATATATTAACCAAGTAATTTAATTTCAGTTTGAAAAACGAAATATATAATATCTAAATTTAATCTTAATAACTCAGGCGTCTGTTAGACAAAAATACTCCAATCAAAATTTTGATTGGTTGTACTTCCCAACTGATGTCAGCATGCTCTGAACTAGCAATATGTCCTCAGAACTGCATCCTATTTGCTATAAAGAAACTGTGGATTAATGGAGGATATGACGGCCTCTTATACTCCATTAATCCACGGTTAATCCTCCAGATTGTGATATTTAACATTTATAGAGCAACAAGAGGATCAAACTGAGAAAATTGAGTTTTTATCATCAGAACAAAGTGAGGTCTCTTCTTGCCAGGATTCCGTCTATTTAGCAGACAAAATTAAATCGGGTACTCGTTTTTTAACAGTATTACCTCAAAAATTTGCAAAAGAAGTTGAAATTACAGGTGTTTCTAAAAATATTTCACCTAGAAATATGATGCGTTTGCTCTCTGTCATAGTAGTTACTTATTGGGGGTAATTTGACAGATTTCCATAAGCTCTCTCTCTCTGCTTTTTGGCAGCCATTTGCATTGGAGAAATTTTGTGCTGTTTGGGGGCATATAATATTTGACTGGACCCAGGCATACTTTATTTGCGTTGTTGAACGTGCTTCTTAATCATGGTTTATGAAGCAACATAAAGGTGACAGGTTTTACAGATCCTCTCAAACAATGAGAACTGAATAGATGGATAATATATGAAAATTTCTGAATGATTTTGCCAATTGAGGTATTATGTTTTCAACTTTTACTGACTGATTGAAGAAAAAATATGAAAATCTGTGTCAGTTTATAACAGATACATCTGGTTCTTTAAGGCCCTCGTTAATTTTGCAAACTGGCATTGGTGGGTGATAAACCATTCATCAATAATATCAAAAAACTTTGTTGACCATAAGTAAAATCACAGCATTTGACAATTTTTTGTAAAAGCTAGCTTGTTTTTACATGGCTTTGACAATAAACTTGATCTTTGATTATTATATTTTCAACCTCAAGCTGAGACTTTTCAGACAAAATATAGTTAGCCACGGTTGAAAAATTGTCTACATTTGTTTGATTTCATATTTCTTACACTTGCATATTTGAAGTTTAATTTTTTCAATTCTTCATCAGTTGTTCAACCTTGTGTGTCAAGATAGCTTTCAAAATGTTTATGTAGCAAAATTGTTCCTGAAAGTTCTTGACTAAGCGGAGCCACTCGCCTTTCTACTCGATTAAACGCGCTTCTACCAGTTGAATTCGCGATCAGGCAATTTAACGCTGTATTTAACAAGCATTAAAAGTGGAGCTTGCTTGTTAGCTGCTGCAAATACAATTGGGAATCTGACTTTTTCTCTTATTGGCTGATGAAGCATACTTCTTTAGGTCCCAACAAAGAAGCCACTTCATCTAAGTAATTCAGAGTAGCTGTACAAAATGTACCATAAATGTGTTTTAAGTATTTTAAATTGTTTTGTGCTCAAATTAACTTCACTGGTACAGTTGTTACATAACGTTTATCTTCCAATGACAAACTTCATTTTGAGCTGAGTATAAATAGCACTTCTACTTAGTTGAAAACCTTAAACCTTTAATTGTTCAGTTAATTTGTCAGATTTCAAACACTACAATAAATATCAATCTGTCTTTTGTCATAAGCAGCAGACCCACAGGGCTGCAAACGCTGCCTAATTTTTTTTTAATAGATAAACTTAATTTTAAAAGTTAACACTATTGACATCAATATGTCTTGATCTCCCCCTACCTCTTGTCTATAGCTGTCAAAAATTTCAGACAACCCTTCCCCCATATTTAGCTGACGTAATTAGTGGACAGCCCTAAAGATACATATTATAAAAAAAAGGTTTTCAAACAAAGTTTAAATTTTTATTCAATGAAAAATTTACAAAATTTTGCTTTATCCGACAAATGATACGATTTTTGGTACAAGTTTTTGAATAAATACCGTAACTCCTTTTTTAAGAACATTAGCGACAAGATCTTGGTTTTTGGCTACGAAGTCATGAAGTTTGTTTCCAACTAAAGGAATTTTCATTAATATTCCTCTTTGAATAAGAAAATCTAACTTCTTTTTGAGCACTATAAAAACAATAAACAAATAAAAAGAAAAAAAATAATACAAATATCAGTCTTTATTGAGTTGAACATTATTATAATAATTAGTTATAACATATTGTTTCAAAAAAAAATTAAAAAAACAACTTTTAAATTTTTTCAGAAATATCAGTTTAAAGCTTTAATTAAATGAATCGAATAAAAAAAAGTTAGGCGTATATAATTTTATGTTTTAACGTGTTGCAAGCTTATTACTTATTAAAGTTAGGATGATTAAATAAATGAAAATTTTAATGAAAATTTGTAAACTGTTTTATTAGTATGATAATAAAAAAAAAAAAACACTAGATTACCTGGTGTAAACAAAATGACGTGAACAATAACAAGTCAAAAATATAGAATTTCAGTAAATATAAAAATATTCATTAGAAGTATATTATATAATATAAAATCAAATCACAATATATGATCAAAGTATTGATATTATAATGAACAACTAGATTTTATTGCCTCGTTAACCTGAAACATCACAAATAAAAGTTGGAATAGCTTTTACATTGGTTAAATCAAACTCTTATTTACCTCAAACTCTTGATTGCCTCAAACTCTTGCTTAGATTAAATTAGATAATGAAGCAAATACTGGGGTAAACTTATATTTAGAGAATTTTAGAATTGTTAAAATAAAAATTCTGGTTACCGTTAGTTAAAATGTCGACGTCTTCGTACCCATTGTAAGCATATTCAACTTCGAGATCTTTTTCTAGACTTTTATATCCTGTGCATACCTAAAAATGTACATTTTTTTATCGTATATTCCACATCATTATCATTGTAAGTATTTTAAGAATATATATGGTCAAATTCAGTTTTGGCACGAGTTTTTGAATAAGTACCGTAACTTCTTTTTTAAGGATACTAGAGACAAGACCTTGATAATTTTAACCAATCCTGCGCCCTCTCTTTTTTACTGAACCACAAGTTTCACCAACAAGAATACAAGCATACATTATTTTCAACAGTAATATTGATAATTTAACATATAAGAATATAAATATTCAATTTTATAGTTTGCAATTAATACCTCGTTACTGAACAATGATAAACAGTCGTCCTCTTCAACTGATGCTGAATAAGCAAAACTCGCAAGGAAAAGCGCGAAAACAACTGCAATCTTCATCTTAAATAAATGCATATAAAATCGGTATTATGATATATTTCAAAGTTTAATTAAAAATCTTTAAAAAATTTAAAATGTAATAAAAAAAGGTTTTGAATTTTTTTTTATTTATATATTGTTCACTATTTCATCACCATATAGTTTGCATGAAACAATAATGTCCGTTTGAGAAATGAAATGAAACCTTTAAGTACTTGGTGTAGTTCTTTGCAAACAAATCTGGAAAAGCTAAACAAACAGTTTCAGTTTTTGAAAATTTTTGTTATGTAGATCATTTTAAAATGTTTAAAACAGGTGATAAAACACAGAGCATTGTCACTCAAAATAAACAGGCGATGAAACACAGAACGTTGTTACCCAAAAATACAAGTTGTTTGCATTTAGGAAAGATTTTAAAAGTAAAGCATATTTATAGTGCATTTTTTTCTTTCACCAAAATACTTGCAACAATAAATAAAATTTTTAAGGAAAATAATTTTACAGGTACAGTACAATACAACAATAACGTACGATGCAAAAATGACATTACGGTGTATTACATACTGACATAAAATTTCATTTCAGTAACCGATGTATTGTTCCGTAACGAGTAAAACTACCGAGAAAATACGAAAAGAAGCAGATGCTCATTTAGTTACCATGCCACCACCTTTTTCTCTTAAATCATCCCTCGGAGTAAATAAAAATTTTTGTTTACTCCGAGATTTTGTTTATTTAAGACAACCTCTTATATTTCTCTTATAGTCTCTTATATTTAAAAACAAATTTTCTGGCGTGGTAACAACTAAAGTGAGTTTCAAGTGTATAATTAATATATGAATTTATGTTTAAAAACAAGCAGTTTGTTGAAATATAAGCAATATTTCTCAATGCAACAAAAAAGATTTCTTAAGCTAAAAGTCGCATAAAATCTGAAAAGCAGCGATTCATAAAGTGAAGGTGTTATATTTTTATTTCTTTTTTAATGGTTGGGTGAAGCTGAGTTAAAAACACATTTATGTTAGAGATAATATTGAGCGTAATTAATTTCAAGATAGATAACATATATTTGTTTATATTTTCTTAATTGATTATATTCATTCTCAACTCTAATTAGAGTTAGATTATGGGAATAAAAGCACCATAAAAGTTTTTCCTTTTTTTTTTTTTTTTTTTTGTTGTTGCTTTAACCATAAAAAAAAACATACCAAAGTCACTATGCCAGTAAGATGCTTAAGTCAAATACCAAGAAAAAATCCCAAAATCGTCTCTATTGTAAAGTTTTTTGTATATTTGTAGATGTCCTCAAAGAAAATGATAAAAATATAGAATGAAACTTCTTTAGTAATTAGATCATGATATAAATTGTGTGCTCTTTTTTGTTGTTGTTGCTGTTGTTGTTTATTTTAAACTCGTTTTTTGTTAAAATAACAAGTTTGCGTAAAATTTTGCAAGAAAATGTTACAAAAAAAGACGAGGAATCTCACCCAAAACCAGGAAAATTAAATGCATAAAATATTTTCTTGCTGCTAAAAAATTTATGATTTAAATTTAAAATTTTAATAAAATATTGATTATATAATTAATTTCAATTTACTATTAGATCATCTGCAAAAAATGATCCTCAAAATGAAATAAAAAATTTTCAAAATATGTAAATCAAATTTAATTATCTATACTTAAAATATTTTTCTTAGTACAAACTAAGTTGGTAGTACAATTTAGTTTTTATTTCATGTACTTTTATCAAATCGCACCATGGTACTTTAGTACATGAAACTAAACCCGCTAAAATTTAACAAAACAAAAATGAAATGTTAAAAACAATCTACTTCAACTCTAACTTATTAATGACGTCAGCTTAAAATTTAGCATGCTTCACACAAAACTATGTTTAGCTTCACACTAAACTAAATTTAGCATGCTTCACACTAAAAAAAATTTATTCGAAACAAAGTAATTAAAAATTAAAAATTAAAGTAGTAAAAAACTATTTTTAAGATAAATTATTTTGGGAGATTTTGTTAGTTGGGGTGCAAGAAAACGTTTAAAAGTTAAAAACAAAATAAGATTGTTAAAATACTATGGACAATTCCAATATAATAAAAAGATTAAAGCTTTCATAATTATTTCCATTAAATCAAAAAAATAAAATTCTTTGCTTTTCGAAAATTGTTTCTTAGTTTTGGTTCACGTTGTGCTATTCCATATTCAGAATACTTGCTACTAAAACTTGAAGTTTTATAAGTATTCCTTGGTTTATTCTAAGAGAATATGTTTTACATGGTCGTATTTATAGAAAAAAAAAAAAAAAAAAATTTACAACTATGGAACAAAACTTCAACTTTCCACCTAGAACTGACCCAAATAAATTTACACACTCTAAAAAAAAGGTAAAAACTTTAAGCATTTTGTAATGGGTTGTGTATCTAGTCTAGTTGGGAAGGAGGCGTGAACTTCCTATTAAATGCTCTTCCGCGGTGCTCTGTGATAAGACCGTAAGGACTTCTTGGGGCACCTTAAAAAAAAAATATATATATATATATATATATATATGTATATATATATATATATATATATATATATATATATATATATATATATATATATATATATATATATATATATATATATATATATATATATATATATATATATATATATATATATTTATTTTAGTATATAAATTTTATCATAAGCAGCAATTATATCAAGCAAAAACAGCAACTTCATTTGTAAAAGGTTCCGTAAAAGGTTGGACAAAGCTTTAATAAGTCAAAATAGTGAATGATATTAATGCGAAAATTAAAAATGCACGGTTTGACTTACATATATAAAACATGTCAAACATCCATACTAAACTGGTATGTAGTAGGCAACAAAAAGTGCCGCACAAGAGTCACTTTTCAGCTCTACCAAAAGAATCATAAATTTAACATTACATAATTTAACATAAGTCTAATTAAATTTTTATAATTGTTACTATTAGTTTTTAATTGTTATCATTTGTTGCTTTTTTAATTAAAATTTCATTTAATTACCGAATTAAATAATAAATTTTCAACTTTTAGTTAAATAAACTTTCTTTAAATCTAAAAAAAAATGTTCGATTTGTATATATTTAAACCTTTTTTTTTTCTTTTTTTGTAAAAAATAAAACTAATTACTATTTTAATGGGTTAAAAGGGTGGAAGTCCAATTATGTAAATTACTTTATTTGATTTCCGTACACTAAAAAAAAGGCAGAAATAACCCTAATATCATATATCTTTAGGGTATAACATATATCCTATCCCTTAAGGTAGACTTTTCAGTCACGTGACTTTTTCTGTGTGACAAGTTTAGAATATAAACATTAGCAATTTTTGACAATTTTTTCGGTAATTATATTCATGGTATCTAATTTCAAACCCAAATACTAGTTATATTTCACTGGCAAAAATTTAAAAAAATGTTGACCTTGGAGATTATTCTTCAAAGTTTCTTAAAAAAGAAGCTATAAAATTTTCAAGTTGTTTTCTCTATAGTTTTATTTATTTAAACTTTTTCACAAGTACACATACTGTTTTAAATTACTTTTTTAGGGTTCTAACATATCAAAAAAAGTTATTTAGCTTATTAAATAGCAATATTTGATACTTGTTTTTATCTATATCTGGACTTAACAATTTAAAAAAAGACACTTTATTTTTTTTTGATCATTTTCTTGACGCCATTATCGTACTCCGTTCAACCTACATAGCTAGTTATTTAGGATAAACTAACCTATATCTGGCAGCGTCTTTATTCTGGGCGATTTTCAAAAAAAAATTTAATGCAGGGTTGTATTGATTGCTTTAAAGTAAAAATACAATGTTTAGACTTTATAATTTATAAATATGCAATTTAAAGTACTTATTGACTCGTTAACTGCTTTTAGAATATTTTCTAAAAATTTAATAAATATAATATTTTGTAAACTTGATGTTTGGTATTTTCAAAATATTTCTGATTACATTCAAACATTTTGCTTTTGTAAATCTTTTACATTTCTACTAGTAATATGATATAATACTGCTAAAACTGTGTATGTTTTTTTGTTTATCTTATATAACGTGCAATAGTTTTTTTGTGTGTGTGTGTTTTTCTATATACAACCTTAAAACATACTTTCTAGCCATTATCCTGTATCTTGCCATGATAACTCCTAATTCTGCCAGATTTAGGAAGTCTTAGTTCTGCAAGACGCTATTGCAGATACTAAACCCTTTTTTTAGCAACTATTTTTCCAGGACGGTCATCGAATTTTCCAAATGTTTTGCGGTTTCTGAAGTAGGTTGTTTTCTGTTAACACATTTTTAAGAATGGAAAAATATTTCGATACTTTACAGACATTCATACCCTGATGTCATCAGTGTATGAATGTTTGTAAAGTGACCTGAAAATTATTACATATATTTTTAATATTTATAAATTTAAATGAATTAGTTCACTCTGACAGTTAGAAAAATCTCTTTTTCTTTAACTAAAGTTAATTTTTACGGTTTTAACAGAGCTTTTTGTACTCTTGGTCTGATTTGCTCCAAAATGGAAAAACGGGCTCTGTGTGTTTTTACATATTTTCATAATATTTATAAATAAAAATTAATTTATACATTCTGACAGTTTTAAAAAAGCTCTTTTTTTAACTAGAATTAATTTTTATCATTTGTACAGAGCTTTGACTGTTCTTGGCCCAATTGCCCTGAAAAGGGAAACAAGCCCTAAGATTTTTATATATTTTCTTGATATTTATAAATGTAAATGAATTTGTCTAGTCTGAAAGTTTGAAAAGGCTATTTTTCTTTAACTTGAGTTAATTTTTACGGTTTTAACAGAGCTTTTTGTACTCTTGGCCCAATTTGCTCCAAAATGGAAAAACGGTGTATTTGGCTCTGTATATTACATTTAATGGCCCTGTGTATTTTTACATTTAATGGTACTGTGTATTTTTACATTTTTACCAAATATTTATAAAAATAAATGAATTTATTTATTATGACAGTTTGAAAAAACCATTTTTTTAACTAAAATTAGGGGAAAATTAGCCGAAAGATTTTTACTTTTGATATATCTTCGCTAACATCTGCTGAATACTCTTTACTTAATAATTTTGCTTTGATTTCCAATGTATCTAAATCAATATTGAGATAATTCCACATGAAGCTAAACTTATCTGAAATGCTCTGTGCTGCTTTGAATCTTAAAACAAGGCCACTAATAACACTATCTAATACCACATAGAAAACTAATCTTCTAAAGCATGATTTCTCCATGGTCTCATCTTCATTTGAATCTGTAAACCCTTGATCCTCTGGCTCGCCAACAACTCTGTCTCTTTTGAGATTTGCGCCACCTCGTCCTCTTGATAGTTTGACTTCTATATCCAAATTCATTGCAAAATTCTTTGATTCTGACCAGATATCTTCCCATTTATTCCGAAGCTCAAGAAGTTGTCAGGTTGTTGCTAGTCAGGCTATAAGATAGTCGATGTAGCAAAACCCCCTGGCAAAAATATAATTATTTTAGACCGCGTAACTGTAGGATTACCATATATATATATATATATATATATATATATATATATATATATATATATATATATATATATATATATATATATATATATATATATATATATATATATATATATATATATATATATATATATACTGAAATTAATATACAATTGCAGCTGTTTAGCTAAAAAATGTTAATCGGAAGAAGCAAAAGTGGATGGCGTGGTGCCAGTAAGATGGTATCGATATAATCTACTCTCAATTAAGTTAGTCGCAGGTAAGTGTTTTAAAAAGTTTTACTGTTTATTTTTAGACTAATTTTTTAATGTATTGTGCTTGAAGAACGTTGTTCATTGTATATTAAATTAAAATATTTATTTTCAGACAAAAAATAAAACCTGTAAACAATTTACTTGTTTAAGTGCCAGTGAAACGAACGATAGAAAGAAAGAAGCATTCAATTTAGGCTTTCAATTTTTTTATATATATTTTGAAATGATCTGAATAATTTTGTTGTTTTTATTTATTTTTGAAATTGTTTTTACAAAAGATTGGCTCTTTAACTTTTATGTTAAATATGTTATTTTTTTGTTAACTGTTGTCCGTCATTAACAAAGCAATTATAAAAAAACACATAATGACAACAGATTTATCTTTAAAACTGTTCGCAAAATTTTTGGTTTGGATACAAAAATTAAGTAAAAATGATACTAGAAAGGGACACTTTCTTATATCTAAACATCATTGCAGCTTTCTAGTCTTCATTTTTGTTTGTGTATTTCATCTGTATTGCTAATGATATCGGCAGTTTTTATGATTTTATGTTGTTAAGTAAAGCATCCTTATGTTTCAGGCTAAAATAGAGCTTTGACTAATACTTTTTTCCAATTTAAATGAATAACAAATCTCAAGATGTATTAGCTGAATTATCTTTTTGTTTTGATAGTCTTTAGTCAATAACGGATTTTTAAATTGTTATGAGTCTACAACACTTAATTTCAGCGAAATTCAATTAAAAAGTCATGTTATACAAGACAGAAAAATATCAATATATGTTTTCAATAACTTGGCTTTCATAGCAAATCTGAGAGGTGCAAATGTTTAGCTTGATTTAAGTACTAAATAATAAAATACATCGTTGTACAGTCATTTTGATGGTTGTAAAGTTATTTAGCACACTTATTTTTATATATTTTTAGACTGTTTACCGTTTGACTCCTGTCTTAATCTAACCTAGAGGGTTCAAAAAGAAAGGGACCGCGCTGGAAACATGAGTGGATTAAAAGGATCAGCCCTTTTTAAATTAAATGTCGGTAAGTATAATGTGCTCTACTCAGCTAATCAAGTTTCGTTTGCTTTTTTTGTATTACATTTAAGCAATAGACTGATTTTTATGTTTATTGATTTTTTAAAAGTGGTAACCAGCTAGAAGTCGTAACCTGCTCGTATGAAAGAATTTCTCGACGTGAAATTGTTAATTTTATTCAACAACGCCAAGAAACAAAACTCACTCAAGAAACAGAAAAGAAAGAGAAAGATGAAAAAATATTCTGTTGAACAATACTATTGTTTTATTTATAAATTATTCTCCTATATTTAAACATATAAAAGATGTAGAAAATGCTTTCTCTTTTATATTGGCATCTAAAAGAGGTTTTTTTCTCGGCATCGGAAAAAGCTTTTTGTCATACTTTGTATGAAGAGCTATTATCATTTTCATTTGAAAAAAGTAGCTTTTCATGTAAGAAAAGTAGGAATACTATAGTTTATAGGATACTATAGTATACTAATAAGTATGGCAAATAAGTCGTTCCGACACCGAGAAAAAACACTTTTTTAGAAGTACGTAGTTAATAAACAAAGACGTCTTAAAGACGCATTTTTTACGTCTTTTCATGACAAAATTAAGATAAAAAAAGACGTCATTTCAATGTCGAAAAAAGATGTCTTTTAGATTTGCATAATCAATTAAAAAAAGAAGTCTTAAAGACATCGTAATAAGACTTTTAAAGGCGTTTTTTCGACGTCTTCTTTTTCCCACTGGGATTATTCAAATTGTTTTAAAGTCTAGAGTATATAAAAATTCTATTCAGATATCAAGTGCCATGATTAGTATGATATGTATAAAAATGAGTGTATATCCCACCTCCAGCAACTCCTACCGAAAAATTATATATGAGTATATAATTATTTTTATAAGAACATAATCATAAAAGTATTATGCTTTTCTGGAAAAAATTAGATAAATTTTTAATGCCTCGTTAATTTTCAGGACAAAGGAGACCTACAGTGGAATTTTTTTATGGATCGCACTGGGTAAAAAAAAAATTGGAAGAACAATAAAGCCAAAAGTCCACAGATGAGTTGTTATCTGTTGCTATGATGCATCTCAAGATGGATGGAAGGTAAAAGATGAGATATTGCAGGGAGTACTCAGTAGTAAAGATGATAGAGTAGTACAGCAGGGTGGTTGCTATAGTAATAATGAAGCAATTTTTTTGTTATTACTAAAAAAATTATCTAAGAATGATAATCAAAATATTTGATAATCATTCTTGATACGGTTGCGCAGTTATATTGAACAATGGAGCCAAGAAAAGAGGATATAACAGAACATATCCCTTATATAATTCAGTACGAGAGGCTAAGGAGTACTGCATCCCTGCCTCTGGAATACAAGTACAGGACTACTCAGCTGAGGTAGGACTTCAAGATATGTTAAACCATACGACAAAGAGGATAATGGAAATCGCCAATACTTTTCCTCCAAATTCCAAACTTTTACTAATCAGCGAAGTTGGATTAGATGGCAGTACAAGACAATCTGTTTACAAACAGAAAACTTGAGATTGTACTTGCAAAGATTATTTTGTTGAGGAAAGTCTTTTCCTGACTTGCTTGGTATTACTTCAACTGCCTGTTGTTGCTACATCTGAAATTCTATGGTTTAATGAGAAACCTTCACCAACTTTGTACTGTAGATCAATACGTTTAAGATATGTTAAAGAGAAGAAAGATGTTTTTGTTTAGGAAATCATGTCAAACGAGTTTTAGCTCACTCTTGTTGAAAATGCTTTTATTAAAAATCAACTAGAAATGACCATGTTGGATGGCAAAGTAGCAAAAGGTGATGTAACTGATTCAACTTATTGTTGCTCTATTTGAGGGGCAACTCCAAGTGAAATAAATAATCTAGGGACCCGCAAGGTTTTGTCCAGGGGGCCCGCACGGGAACCGCATGGTAACGTTTTTAGAAGGGTTCCAACCGGGAACCACACGGGCACGTTTTTGGAAGGATTGATTGCGAAATAATTTAAATTATTTGGTAATAAAACTATTTGTTAAGTAAATTCGCGTCTATAGAGACCTGTTTACGACTTGCACGACCACACGTACGAATATCACCGTACGGCAATCCTCGAATATCTTAGAAAATAGTAAATCTTATATACTTTATTTAATAGACGAATATTTTTTAAGTTCAAACTACATTTCTGATAATAACAAATCAGCATGATCTGATATAGATTTTTTTTCCGGCTGTTTTGGCCATGATTTCGGGCGTTAGCAAACCATTTACGTAACTCAACCTCTATCTCTTTTTGGGTTGCATTAGCTGTCAATGCGTTTCTTTTAACTGCACCTAAACAAAAACGAAAATAATTGTAAAAATTATTACAATTTATGTTTATGTAAAAATATCTCATTTAAATATATTCAAATAAAAATAATTTATATAATGATTGTTATGTGAAAAGCATAACATACCACAGACTACATTAAATATTTCCAGTTTCGAAAAGCATACTTTTCCAGCCTGCCCAGAAAGATTACACAGTGAATTTCACATTCTTTTTAACGGCATCATCCAATGAGCTCTTACCAATATTGGACACAATTGCATTTAACCTCTGGCGCGGTGTTCGCTCACCCGTAAGTTACTTTATGTTTATGTTTATGTTTTTTATGTTTTTTTATGTATGTTTGTGTTCTGTCTGAACCTCTGGCGCGGTGTTCGCTCACCCGTAAGTTACTTTGTGTTTTTCATGTATGTTTGTGTTCTGTCTAAACCTCTGGCGCGGTGTTGACTCACCCGTAAGTTGATTTATGTTTGTTTGTGTTCTGTTTATACTCTAATGCAGCGTGAGCTCAGTAACTAACTACTTACTCCAACTACAAAACCTACACTCACCTTAGACTCCTGTATTTTGTTAGATGCAGTGTTTTCCTAATGCACTTCCAAAATATCATGCCTGGTTTTCTCAAAGTACTGTTGCGGGAAGTAACTCCTTTTAACTACTCCAGGTCATGTCAGGATAATCGAGACCAATCTTGCTACTGGTATCACGTAACCCAGTACCACCTGCCACAAGCCCTGCTGCCTTGCAGAGTGTGCTCTTCTTAGGCAAAGGCTAGGAGAAATAAACTCCGACTAAAAATTCCCCTGCCTTGGGGCTCTTGGTTGAGTAAAGGCTAGAGATGGTGTCTCGATAAAAACACTCATCTTGGGCAGATGTTAACTGCATCCAGCTAAACATCCCCTGCCTTGGGGCTCTTGGTTGAGTAAAGGCTAAAGATGGTGTCTCGATAAAAATACTCATCTTGGGCAGATGTTAACTGCGTCCAGCTACTGTCTTGTAGAAGGCCTCCTAGGCAAAGACTTTAGGGGTAAGCAGAAAAATTCTGCTAACCAGCCTCGAACCCCTTCTTCATCTATTAGGCTGGCGTAGATGTAACCTGTGTTACATTGTTTCCTGCCTAGGATGATGAATGCTGGATCTCCTTGACTCTACTCATAGAATTTTGCTTATGCCTCCTTGATAATGGCTATGCAACTCTTCCTGTTATCTCCATATGAGGGTACAGCTCTAAAACTCAGTTTAATGGTTCTAAGGCCGGCTGGTAGTAAGGTTTCCCGAACTCTGTGGTAGCTCTCAGAGAGGCTGGTTCCATCAACAGCTGCAAAATATCAGAGTATTAACAGTGCCATGTTGCGCATGGATGGTGCCCCTGTTAATGCTTTTGGTGTGCATTGTCAAGGCCACATAAGGAGCCCTATGTCAAGGCTTAGGATTAATTAACAGGACTGAGACAACTGCATAGCTCATTGATTAGGAGGCTGTGCTCTATCTATGAATGAGTCTAGTTCTCATTAAACCCAAATCATGACCAAAGTAACCAAAAATTTAAAACCTAAAAAACCATCCCCACCACCTAAATATTTTAATATATCTTTTACAAATATTCGCGGTCTACGAAGCAACTTTCCATCAGTTGAGTCTTACCTCCTGCAAAATTCACCAGACTTGCTTGCACTCAGTGAAACAAATTTAAATTCTGCAATTCCTTCTTCAGATGTCAGTGTTGATGGGTACTATCCTTTGATTCGTAAAGACTCCAATAGTCACATGCTAGGTTTAGGGGTATACATACGCATTAATTCCCCTATTTGTCGTGAAATCAGGTTCGAATCCTTTGACCATTCTTTTATGTGCTTTCGCCTAGCACCTCTTCATTCTATCACCTTTCTCTTTGTTCTTTATCGTTCTCCTTCTTCCCATGATTGCACTCTTTTAGATGTTATCTCTGATCAAATCGACCATGCCCTCTCTCTTTACCCCTCTGCCAATATTGTTGTTGTTGGTGATTTTAATGCCCATCACACTGAATGGCTTGGCTCTAACACCACTGATCCTGCTGGCAATAAAGCCTTTAACTTCTGCGTTTCTCAATCTCTTACTCAGATAGTTAACTTTGTGACTCGTTTTCCTGACAACCCTAATCATTTACCTTCACTCCTTGACTTATGTCTTGTCTCTGACCCTAGCTTATGTTCAGTTAGTATGTTCTACTCCATGGTTTTCTCCTTCTTGTGCGGCTGCTATATCCAATCGTAATCATTTTTTTCATCTTTTTCAAAAGAACAACTCTCTTGAGAACAAACGGCTATTTATTATTGCAAGAAATCGATGTAAAAAGGTGCTTTCTGATGCTAAACTCCATTATTCTCAGTTCACTAAATCTCGCATCTTATCACAGAAGTTAGGCTCTAAAGACTTTTGGAAAATCTTCAACAGCATTATTAACAAGGGTAGATCTAACATTCCATCTCTCATTCATGGGACTGATCTTATTACCTCTCCCAAGGATAAGGCAGAACTGTTTGCAAAGAACTTTTCTTCTAATTCCACTCTTGAATCTTAGGGACATTCTCTTCCTCCCATTCCAGTCAAACAGGTTGACCCATTGTTAGACATTCAAATCACTCCGGCTTCTGTTGCTAAAGTCATATCTCAATTAAACTCGTCTACAGCTTGTGGTCCAGACAACATTCCTGTCACAGTCTTGCAGAATTGTTCTCCAGAACTTTCTTCAATTCTCTCTAAACTATTTAACAAGTGTTTGACTGAGTCTTGTTTTCCTGCTTGTTGGAAAATGGCATCTGTGGTTCCAATATTCAAAAACTCTGGAGAAAATTCTGACCCCTCCAATTATCGTCTGATCAGTCTTCTTTCTGTTATTAGCAAGGTCTTTGAGTCTTTGATCAACAAATTCCTCACATCTCATCTTGAGTCAAATAAACTACTGTCAGACAATCAATACCGTTTTCGATCCTCTCGCTCTACGGCCGACTTGCTAACTGCTGTAACTGAAAGATTTTATTGTGCATTAGATGGAGGCGGTGAGGCTAGGGCTATTGCTCTCGACATATCTAAAGTTTTCGACAAAGTTTGGCATGCTGGTCTTCTCCATAAGCTTGCTTCATATGGTAATTCTGGGAAAGTTTTTGAGATTATCAAATCATTTCTTTCTAACCGGTTTATTAAAGTCATCCTTAAAGACCAACACTCTTCTTTATTTCCAGTAACTGCTGGGGTTCCCCAAGGTTCCATCCTGGGCTCTTATCTACATAGACGATCTTCCTGACAACCTTTTATCTAAAGTAGCTCTTTTTGCTGATGACTCAACTTTATACTCCTGTCTTGACAAAAAGTCTTCTCTTTTCGATCGCCTAGAACAAGCAGCTGATCTTGAATCCGATCTCACTTCAGTAATAGATTGGGGTTCACAGTGGCTTGTGAATTTCAACTCTAAAAAAACCCAGTTGCTTACTGCAAACAACTACCGTAATATGGTCAACATTCCTATATTAATGAATGGCAATCCTCTTACTGAGTCGTCCTCTTTACGTCTTCTTGGATTATCGCTTACTACTGACCTTTCATGGAAACCATATATACAATCGATTGCTAAATTAGCTTCTGCTAAGGTTGCTTCTCTTTATCGTGCTCGCCATTTTCTTACTTCTGATTCCATTCTCTACCTCTACAAATCTCTTATTCGTCCCTGTATGGAATACTGTTGTCATATTTGGGCTGGTTCTTCTAACGATTCACTTTCTCTTCTTGACAAGGTCCAAAAACGCATTGTAAATGTTGTTGGACCTGGACTATCTGCTAAGCTTGAACCTCTTTCTCATTGTCGTAAAGTTGCATCTCTTTCTCTTTTCTACAGATACTATCATGGTCACTGCTCAAAGGAGTTATCATCTCTAGTTCCATCAACTAAAATTCATTCTCGTTTTACTCGTCATTCAGCTAAGTCTCATTCGTTTACTGTATCTGTCCCTGCATGCTCTAAAAACTTTTATTCATCTAGTTTTTTTCCCCGCACTTCAATCCTTTGGAACTCTCTCCCATCTTCATGTTTTCCTGACTCATACAACCTTCAACTTTTCAAGTCTTCTGTCAACCATTTCCTTGCTCTATAACTCTGTTCTTTTTTTTCCTAGTAACTCCCAACTTGATAGTGGTTGCTTGCAGCCTTGTTGGGAGTGAATGCAAATAAAAAAAAAAAAATCGAAAAAAAAGAATCATTTTTTATAGTAAAAAACAAATAAATTGAATTAAATTAAGAAATGATTGTATTAGTTTTATGACCAAATGCTAGTCTAACACTGTACTCTGAGTCTACTGAACAAAATGGCGAGGGTGGATTTTGGTCAAGATATAATATAATAAAGGCAGTCTGAAGAGGCTTGGAAGACAAAAATACATTAAAATAAACCAATAAATAAAAAAAAAATTGTTCTTAGACAATGAAAAAAAAGTTACCCCTCATCAATGTTCTCTTTATTGATCGATCTTTTAGCTGCTCCTCCAAATCATTAATTTCTTTGATACTGGAAATGGGAAGGTCAATGCCTACAAGCAATTCGTTATCTTTTTCCACCTGAGGTGTATTGATTTGTCGCATAATAGACTGCAACATTGCAGAATGAGTCTTTTGAGTTTCTTTAATTTCTTCAAGGGTTGTTATTAACCTCTCCAAAAGAACAGCTAAATCATATTTTTTTAAATTGTTAAATGTAAATACAATAATACAAATTATCAAATTAATAAATGCATAGGTTTAGCCACAGCTACTTTGTTCTGCCAGAATAAAGATTAAGTAAGCAAAACACTTGCTGTGCAACAAATTATTATATTACTAAGTTTTATTAATTTTATTATTATTAATATTTTTTAAATATTTTTTTAATATTCAAGTATTATACAGTCAAAGGTTCAATAAACTAATATTAATAAAACCTTTAAAAAATTATTAATTAAAGAAATTTGCAACTTTAGAAAACTAGCTTACATGAGTTGATCGAACTTAACACGTGAACTGGTGTTTCCATGATAGTTTTTGATTGATTGGACAAAACACCAGGGTGTAAAATACCAGGCTCGCTATCAGATGTATTGGAATGTGGATTGTTTAGATATTTTGACATATGCAACCCTGAGCTTGACTGTATTGCCATCAAGTGATCAGGTGGTGTTGGTTTAGTAATACTACAGATGTTTGTATTTCTGAAACAACAATTTGAAAACAAAATAGATAAAAATATAATAGGCTATATTAAATTTTCAAACTATTACTCGCAGATCCACCTCACTCAAAAATTAAACTTTAAAAGCAATGTATACCTCCTATAATTATATGAATATAAACTTTAATAGCCTCTGGGTATTAAACTTTCCAATTTACTTTAGCAATCATCAAATTAAGTTTTTCAGATTTTATAAGACACTTAACTATTCTACCTATCTATCTATTAAAGAATATTCACACCTCTCTTCTATAAAAAGCCTGAAAAAATTAGATACTATAAAGTAATAAAAATCAAAAAATATTTTTTTTTTTATAATTTTAAAACTATTTTATTTAGAATTTTTTTCATAAAATTATATAGATTATGCAAATAGAACTAATTTTTTTATACCCTGTTTCGCTTTATTGAAAATTGTCTTCAACTTCATCATCAGCAACTTCACTTTCATAGATAAAAGAATATTTTCTTTTTCTGAAAAACAATAATGTTTTAAATTATAAAATAAAAATAAATTTAAAAAATTTTATTAATTGATTTTATCCTTCATATATAATTTCATATCAATTAATTTAATATATATTATTCATATTCATATATACTCATATATAGAAAAATCAAGATAAAAACTAAACCAGCAAATATATTTGAAAAGTAAAATAAACTTTACTTGAATTCACAAACCTAATTTTTCGTGTTTCCATATCTCTACAATTACTAGAATCATCCATATCATAATCAACATTTGATGTATCTTCAGCCTGCTTTGTTTTTTCTTTCGCGCTTTTAAGAGTGTCTAGAACAAATTACTCATATTTTGTGTACACTGAAAGGTATATTTAAATATTTTTAAACAACATTGGTATTGCGCTTTAAAGAATTTTTCTTTTAATTTCTTAGCTGTAGAAAATATACACAGACAAAATATTTTGGGAACGAGAGAAAAAAGATATCTCCTTTCTACAACAACCAAAGCATTTTGTATATGACTAATTTAGAGTCCCAATAGGAACTTTCAATTTCATATTAAAAGAGAGACATGAATCTCTAAAAATTAAACTTACTTGCAGTTCCTAGAATTCTTACTTTGTATAAATGCCAGTGTTCTTCTGTATTACTGCATATTTTTTTTGCATTCAACACTTTGTTTGCTGCTTTTACTGGTGGATAGTAAAAACTTACAGTTTAATACAGTTTTATTTTTTATTAAATTTTTAACATCCCAGTTGATTCATTCAACCATTCAATTGATTAGCAGAAAATCAATCTCTTTAGTCTCAATATACTCGAGAATAGCATACATATTTAAATAGCAAACGAAATGCCAAAATTAAATAAACAATAATCATGTAATCATAAAGCTCTTTTTTTTTTTAGATGTATAGTATAATTTAATTTAAACGTTTTCTATTTTTGTAAATTTTTTTTATGTTCTAGCCGACTGTACACTAAAAAGCCCGTTATTCAGAGTTGTCAAACCTTAATTTTGATGTCAGAAAAGGATTCCCAGACCCTAAAAACATACGATTAGATGTATAATATGATTATATTTAGACGTTTTCTATTTTTGCTGATTTTTGTTATATTCTGGCCCACAGTGCAGCATAAAATTGGTATTTGACAAACCGGAGATATTACAGAAACGTTAAACTTCTTCAGAATTCACTCCGTTTTTCATATTTTGTTATACTTCAGAAGACTACCAGTTTCACCAGCTTTACTATACATCTCTGGGCTGTGTCAAAAAAGATTAGCGTCTCGATTTGAACCAAGAAGACCACTGAGCATCTACTAAATGCTAAAAAAGTTATAATTGGTTAAAGTTTGGATATTGGATAATTGTGGATCTTGCAAAATTCAAGAAAATTAAACTAAATAATTTTAAACTATTTTTGAGTGTTTGCAAACAACAACTGTTTGAGGTCAGCAAAAAAATTTTATGCTTGTGAATCTAACCATAAGCTGATTAAATCAATTTGCCATTAAATCTTGGATCCGTCACTGATTATTATTATTATTGATTAACAATTAATTACAAAAACCAACAATTTATACAATTATATATAAATAAAATATATAGATAAATAATAATATATGTTTAATAATGAAACATAAATAACATAAACGACGCATAATTTATAATTATAAAGAATAAAATAAGTAAAACATTTTAAAAATAAAATATTTTTGAGTTTTGCAAACAACAAACAACAACAATTCTCTCTTCTATAATTCCTGAATTTGAAAAAGCAGATGAAAGTGTTTTATGTATGCCTGACACATCCTGTACATTAGGGCAATTTTTTTTATTTATTTTTCATAATCATCTAACCTGATCTTAATGATATATGCCACTATAAAAGTACTCATAAATATTTTAGCACATGTTTTGCTATAATTTAAATATGGCTTTCAACACACTGTTGAATAAATGAATTTTATAACATTTATTAATAGCTGTAAATCACTTTTTTAGTCTGTTTTTTAGGTTTATTTTAGTGATTCAGGTTCCGGTTTGAAATATGCTCATGAAATTGTTTTTTTAATCATTACGTAACAGAACTCAGGTTATTCGAGTTTGTAACTCTAATGTTGGGTATTAGTTTTTTGTACAGACATGGTTTCAAAGCATAGTCAATAGAAATCCTGGTCTGGAAAAGCTATTGTTTCAATCTTATTTTAAAACCGTATCTTGAAAAATGCGTAAAAAGTAGTCACGTAATCAAATCTAGTGCAAAACAAATTTTTAAATGGCGTTTTCTGAAGAACTTTTTACAGGTAAAAACGATTGATTATATAATAAATATTAACGCTGATGATGAAAAATACCCGGATTTGCCAGAACATTTTGATAATGCATTATTAAAGGTAATAATGTTTAAATTTTAATTTTTAAATGGCGTTTTCTGAAGAACTTTTTACAGGTAAAAACCATTGATTATATAATAAATATTAACGCTGATGATGAAAAATATCCGGATTTGCCAGAACATTTTGATAATGCATTATTAAAGGTAATAATGTTTAAATTTTAATGGTTTATTTTGGTGTAAAGGTTAACGCAAATGATTAAGTCAAATTAAAAAAACATTTTTAAAAGTTATTGTGTCTTAATATTTAATGTTAATAATTGTACTAAAATAACATATATATATATATATATATATATATATATATATATATATATATATATATATATATATATATATATATATATATATATATATATATATATAATAAATGCTATTTTTAATATATATTAGGTAACCGATATTGGAGACTTCAAGTGCAAAATTTGCAAATCCAAAACGTATAAAACAAAAGGAGGTTTAGCACGACACAAAAAAAAAAAACACCACCAGAGTCAAACAGATATGCATTATAATGATTTTGTCACAGATATAAAAAAAATTGTTGCAGAAACTAAAGCTGATTTGTCAACAAATAAATTTTATCCTGAAGAAGTTATTTCAGAAATAAAAGACTTTGAAATAAAAATAACAGAAAACTTTTTTGATGAAATAAGAAAAATGTCAAAAAAATCAAAATCATCTGGAAATGCTGAAAAATATTATTCCAACTTTTATAGCAATATTGTTCTCTTTTCAGACACGTATTTTAATCTAAAGAAACCTGCATCAACAGTATTTACAACAAAGTTATGCAATAAATTATTTCACTATTTTCAAAGCTCTCCTTCAAAGAATGTTGAAGTTGAAGAAATTTCACCACGTTAAGTGGATGGATTAAAATATTTGTCTGGGTATGTTATAAAAAATCTACTTAAAAAGGCAAAAACAACAAAAAATTACAAAAGCTAGTACAATCAAGCTATTATTACTTTAAACAACTAAAGAAATTATTATTACAATCAAGCATTATTACTTTAAACAACTAAAGAAGTTTCAAGTTCAGAAAAGTTAATAAAAACCCAAAACAGAGGGGGTTTAACAGCAGTATGTGAAGAGTGCTATCAGATTTTCTTGCTTGCTGAGAAACATTTTAGACAAAAAACTGCAGTTGCTAACCTCCGAAATATTGAAAGTAAGAACTTAACAAAACACCTATTAAAGGATCCTAATATTATAAGTTTTTACAATGCAATCGTGGATGATGTGAAATTCGTGTCTATTGACAAAGAAATTAAGCTTAACTTGTTAGAAAAAATGATAGAACTTTATTTTAGAGTTTGTACATTTTCATTGGCTAAAAATATAACTGCAAAAAACAATGATCAAAGTTTTAAAGTAAAATCTTTAATAAAAAGTATAAAACGTAAATCAAACAATAAATAAAGACTTAAACTTTAAGCTTAATACAAATAATTGATATATTTTGTTATATGCTATGTTTATATTTAGATTATATTTATAGGTTTTTTGTTCGTTTTGGTAACTTTTCATTATCAACAACACTCCAAGATACCTCACATTTTTGACCATGACCACCTTTAGTATTTCCAGTAACCGGCGCAATTGATCTTTGCAATCGCAAGTATTTTACTGGTAACCAAATTGATATAGTGTAGGGTTGTCATTTCTTCGACCTAAGCTCCGTTGTCTATTTATATAATTTATATAAAGCCACAAATACTTTAGGCTTTATGAAATTTATTTGTTTATTGTACTTAAACTAATCAGAGTTGCCCAAAATTAATGCTTTTGGAATTAAATAACACAGAGTGTTAAAGCAAATTTAAACAACTAAATATGTAAAAGTATGCTTACTTGTCAATTCAATATCTTCTGCTAAAAAATGATTCTCACATATATAAATATTGCCCTTTGAAAGTCTTTCTTTCAAATCTTTGTCAAAGTCTCTATACTGAGTGAACAGCTAACAATCTCTGTCTCCATTTTTTATAGAAGTCTCCTGTCCTCATAGAAATTCTGAATAAAGTGATATCTTTGTGCTTGAAACTGTACATCCTGGTAGACAACAATTTGAACCTGGCATTTTGGATTTATCTTTTAGACTTTTTTTTAAATATAGAATATAAATAAACATTTTAAATTGAATAAAGTTTTTAAACCATAAACAATAGAAAGAAACCAATGTTATTTTAATAATAAAGAAAAATAATAATTTTAATATGTTAATTTAAAATAAAATCAAAATCTTTATTAATTCGTAACTTTCATTATAAAAGTTTTGTTTGTTTTGCACTAGATTTGATCACGTGACTTATGAAAAAGCGAACAATAACATACGACAATAGCTTTTCCAGACCAGGATTTCTATTGACTATGTTTCAAAGCAGTACAAAAAAGACACAGAAAGATAATAATTTGACATACAGATACTTTTCATTAACTCTTGTGAGAAATGAAATCTCAATTAAAGATTTATTCAAACAAAGTCAGTATTTATCCTAATAATAACGTCAAACCATATATTCGTTTAATACTTTTTAAGATTAGGCAATTTTTAAATTTTCTTTAATAATATTTTTATATTCAAAACAGAATTATTTTATCACAGATTTTTCACAGTTCAAAATAAGGCATGAGGGTGCTGGAATAGTAAATTTAGTAAGCTAATAAACTATAGGCTATACAAATACACTGGGTATCCAAAATGCACAATAACAAACGAGTAGGTCCGTAGAATGATGCAAGTTTTTACATACTTAACTCCCACAGACTAGCTAACCAAAATAAATACATTTTTGAAACCAATCCGACAGAGCTTAAAATGCTCCCACCATTTTACAGACAACTGTTAAATAATTTTTACAAAACAAAAAAGAGATACAATAGTCCTATTTTTTGAACCGAAGATTTTCTAAATCAACCTATTTTTTTCAACAAAAACATTTGAAATAACAACAAAAACTATTTAATTATGCAAAAAATACACATTAAAATGAGGTGGTTTTAGTAGCTGACGTAATAAAAACTTTTCAGCCAAGATTTTTTAATCCGAAATCATAACAGAGTATAACAGAGTTGGAGCTGGAAGATATAGTGATAGCTCTGCCGATTAAATGGAAAAATAAAATCTTAAAAGAAGGACAAAATTTCGACTTTGAAATAGCTCCATTCTATATTACAAAATGAAAAGATAAGTATGAATACACAAATTTCTTATTTTATAAACTCCTTAATAAACCAAAAAAAAATTATACTCTATAAATTTCATAAATAGAGACCAATCTATTGTAAAAGTATAAAAACAATAAATGGACTGAAAAAACCTTTTTGTTAAAATACACAAAAGGAACTCAAATAATAAAACAAGTGAAATTTTTTTCAAAATATATAATTATTTGTTTGCTGATATACGAAATTATTTTGACAACATGGTCAACGACACCGGAGACGGAGGGCCAGGGGAGCCTGAAAAAAAATCTTTTTTTTACATAAAGAGCAAATGTAAGATTGTATTATACGTAAATGAGATGAGATAAAAAAGTGTTTCACCATTTCTTAAAGATAAAATATTTTTAAATAGTTTTTGTCATAGATACTTTTTACGTTTTTAGGTCTTTAAAACATGAATTAAGACTCGAATGTATTAGAAAGCTTGTTCCTATATTTTGGAAAAAAATATTAGACTTTTAACATTACCAATTCTTGCAATTTTTCCCTAAGGAGTCGTCCATAAACTAGGTCACGCCATAAGGGGGTGGGGTATTGGTGGTTTGTGACAACTCATACAAAACTTGCTACTAAAATGTAACGATTTTGTAACGAAGGAGGGGGAGGTCAAAAATGGTCAAACATTGCCGTAATTTATGGACGACCCCTAAACAAATAACATTTGAATGATATGGTGTTTAGTCACCTGTTTTTGTTTTTTTTAACAATCTTAAACATATTTAAAAACATTCTGCAACCATATTTACTGATAGCGGAAAATAATTTATTCAAAAGTCTTAAAATATTTATTTAGCTTTCCCAGGTTTGTTTGATAAAATCTGTATAAAGCAAGCAAAAAAAGTTTATATTCTATTTTTATTCTAGTTGTATCAAACGTGCATTAAAGTAAGTTTTCATTAAAAAAAATTACTTATATATATATATATATATATATATATATATATATATATATATATATATATATATATATATATATATATATATATATATATATATATTTTATTTTTCATTTATCACATCAAGATGAAGATTGCAGTTGTTTTCGCGCTTTTCTTTGTGAGTTTTGCTTATTCAGCACCGGTGGAAGAAAATGACTGTTTGTCATTGTACAGTAACAAGGTATTATATAAAGTTATATAGAATGTTGTCAATAATATACTTTTTATAAAACCTCTTTTTATATTGCATACTATTTTGTTTTGAATATTCTAATATTCTTGTTAAATTTTCTTGCTGATTTCTTAAATAATATTTTAAAAATTTTAAACTTCAAACATTCTGCAGCTTTATATGTCGGAGATTTTTTTCAATATTCTATTATTACTCCCCACTCATCATTGTTCATTATTGTTCATCATTGCTTATCTCCTTTTCTTTTTAGAAAAGAAGATGAACAATGATTTTTTTTTTATTTTTAAACAGATAACGTTTGCTGATTAAAATAAAAAAATTACAATGCAACAAAATAACTTTCAAATAACAAAAGAAGTTTGAAAATGTTTAAAATAATAAGATATATCTTATTATTTTTAATTATATTTAAAATAAAAATGTGCTTTTTAGTTATGTACTGCTTATGACAGCCTAGAAAAAGATATCGATAAATATGCATACGGTGGATACAATAACATTGATTTTTTAACTAATGGTAATAAACTTTATTTTAATAAATCTGTTTGAACTTGAGATGAAATTTAAAATCCTAATTGGACCAACTTAGTGTTTTTTTTTTAATAAATCTAATTTATTCCTACCAAACGCTTGAATTAAATTATTAAAGAATATTTTTATATTAATAAATGTTTTAATTTCTAAATATTGCTAACGTGTTTTATATATTATAAAATAATAGATATAAAAAGTTGTATTTTTAAATAGAATGTTGTTTATACAATCTTTTTTTTATAACAAATTGTAAACTTTTTTATTTAAATATAAATAAAATGAAAATAATAAAAAAAAAAAACTATAAGTTCTTCGGATAATTTAGATTAAAGTTTTGACTAATATAAATAAACTCTAATAAGTAAAATGACTAGTTTTTTATTTATCAATTCTGAATTAGCCGTTAATTGAAACAAATAAAAATGTAAATAATTTAATTAAACAAAGCTTTTTATGTTAATGAAAAGTTAGCTTAGTTTAATTAAATTTAAAAAAAGTAAACCAAGTTTAATTATAAAATGAAAACATCAAATTATATTAATTACTAATCTAAAACATAAAAGAAATTTTAATACTCTTTTTTTTTTTTAATTGTAGTTTTTTTCATTGTTATTTAGCGCTCAGGGCAAAACTCGACTTTCTTGTTTCATGGCAATTATTGAACAAAGTTCCATTAGTTGGAGACAAGCTTCATGAATTCGTATCCAACAACCAAGATCTTATTATTGGCGTTCTTAATGGAGGGATTTCAGCTCTTATGAGACTCGTTCCTCAGTTGCTTTTATTTGCAGGATAAAACAAAATTTTTGTAAATATTTTTGAGAACAACAAGAATTTGATTGAAAACAATGTTTTATAACTTTTCTTAATATATAAGCAGGACTTTTGAAATTTTGAAAGTCCAGGCTTTATATGAGTGTCATGTAAAATAATTTATATAACGTCAAAAGGTGTCATGTAAAGTGCTTTACATGAGTCCAGGCTTTACATGAGCTTTACATCTGTCCAGGCTTTACAGAGTCAGAAGAAATGAACAGGCTGTAGAAACAAATAATTATTGTTAAAAATAAAATTGATAAACTAAAATGCTTATAAATCAAATAATTGAAAATTAAGGATTTAAAAACAAAGTAAAAATAGAAAATAAGCTAATTTACTTGGTTAAGTTTTAAATAAAATTGTATTGATTACACAGTGATACAAAATTTTTGCCACCTGTAAATTTTTTTTGCTTACTAATTAATTTGCTCTGCTGATTTTAAAAATTTCAAATATTTTCTGTATAGTTTTAAAAATATAACGTTTTACATGACATAACCGTCAATCAGTGGATCCATTCGGAACTCCGTCTAGTCAGATTTTTCTCGGTTTTTTGGAGTTTTGGAGTTCGAGAGAAATCGATAAATCTCGACGAAAACTCGACGAAGTTTTGAAAAAACATCAATTTTTTACTCGTAAAATAATTTAATTCTTATTTTATTTTTATGCGGTTTTTACAATTGTAAATTGTAATTTTATAAGTAATTTCAAATGTAAGTGTTCTCTTTGTTTAATAACAACACTAATATACATCGCAAAGCAATTGGCATTGCCAATTGCTAGGGTGGATCGATTTTCATAGCAAAAAAAAAAGGTTTAAAAATCAATATTCCTGAGACACGAATCGATGTAAGATAAAAGTAAAAAAATATTTTTTGATTTTGATGAGATCTTGAGGTTCCTCTTTGGATTCTAAATTCTTGAGGGATCCTAATATTATTGAAATTTTTTTTTCTAAACTATATCAACCTTGGACTCAAAAAAAGCAGAAAAAAATGCTTGTTTTATCAATAATAATTTTATTTAGAAAAAATTTTTAGTGAAAAAAATATTTGGAAAAATATACATTAAAACCCCCGTTTTGATAAAGACGGGCGTTTTTTTATGAAAAAAGCAATATGACTTTTTTCTTTTTAGTTTTGAGTTAAAACAAATATTATATTCAAAATAAGCGTATTATTCTGCTTCTTTTGAGTGCCAGGTTGATATAGTTTAGAAGAAAAATATTTTTATTAATATTAAAATCCGTCATAAATTTAGAATCCAAAGAGGAACCTTTAAAACTCATTTAAATTTAAAAAAAAAAAAAGGAAGGTTCTTTTTTCACCAAAAGACATCGATTCGCAGCTCAAGCAAATCAAATTTAAAAAATTTTTAAAATCGCTCCAACCTAATCCATCCATCCACCCTCCATCCATCGCTCCACCCTCCACCCTTTTTGAAGTTCAAAAATTTTTTAAACCGCTCCACCGCGCATTTCCAATTTTGGCACTGCACGGTAGGTGATCATGATGGAAAAAACCTCAAAAAAAGTTTATTCTATTCAAAACCATATAATAAAACACACTCATACTTTTCCATTGCACTATTTCAAAAACTTATTTATGTTTAATAGTATCTTTTTAGTATAAGTATTTTTTTTAATCCACAAAAATCAATTGCAGTATAATAAAATGTAATGCATAATAAAAAGCAAGATTTTTTTAACTTTTAGCAAAGATATAATAAACAGTAACTTTTAAAATATTATGCGAATTTGATATTAGTTTATATATTTTAACTATTCAATAGTTTACCTTTACAAAAAAAATGTTTTTAGTCAAGATCATTATTTATAATGTAAACAAATACTGGTCGTAAAATAACGCGTGGAACTACTTTAATCAAGTTGTGGTAAATGATAAGAAATATGGAGATATTTACCACAACTTGATTAAAGTATTATGGGCATATTTTGCCTAAGTCAGCGTCAACAATTTCAGAAAAAGTTGAGATATTTCATACTGAAGCCAAATATTTAATGATCGCTGAATTGTTGCATTGAAAGCAAAAGAGGAAAAACTTGGCCTAATAGGTGACGAATGGTGTAGCAATAGAGGTAGAAAATACTACAAATTAAATGTTCATCACGACAGAACGTATTGTTTAGGAATGGTGAGATTGCCATCTCCTAGTTCTGCTGAAATATTAAACATTTTGATAATGAAAAAATTAAAAGAATTTAGTATAGATAGTGAAGATATTGCAGGTACAACTACGGATGGCTGTAGTTGGATGGTGAAATTGGGTACGAGATTTAAGTTTACACACAGATCTGCCAGAATCATTAAATTCGTTTGAGTGTTTGCGATTTGATATACGCTAAAAAAGATTGTCACGAAATTATGAACAAAGAAACTGAATCGGATATTGAAACAGAAACAAAAACTGATGGAGTGACTGAAAGCGGGAGGCTGGCATTAGTGCAAAGCAGTTACAAAAACTGGCATACGTGCAAACTGGAATAACTGCAAATTAGCATAAGTGCGCCGAATAAATTTGCAAATATTGGCATAAATGCGAACTGGCATAAGTGCGAATTGGTATAAGTGCGAAATACTAATTTGCACTTATGCCAATATTGGAAATTTTATTCGGCGCACTTATGCCAATTCACAGTTATGCCAGTTCGCACTTATGCTAGTTTTTGTAACTGCTTCGTACTTATGCCAGTTCGCACTTATGCCAATATTTGCAAATTTGTTTAGCGCACTTATGGCAATTCGCACTTATACCAGTTCGCACTTATGCCAGTTTTTGTAACTGATTTGTACTTAAGCCAGTTCGCACTTATGCCAATTTGCACTTATGCCAATGTTTGCAAAATGTTTTGGCGCACTTAGGGATTGTCCATAAATTACGCAACGCAAAAAATATTTCCAGAACAGAAGTAGAAGATATTAAGCTCTTTTACGCGGCAATTTTCATTTAACTTAATTTCTTATTTTGATTATTTAATTAAATTAAGACTCTGCGAAGAAAAACTTTTGATCTTTTTTTGTTTTGATTATTGTGAAATTTTGCATTACGTAATTTACGGACGATCCCTTATGCTAATTTACACATATGCCAGTTTGCACTTATGCCACTTTTTGCAACGTTTCGCACTTATGCCAGTTCACACTTATGAAATTCGCGCTTATTTAGTCGTCCCACTGAAGGAGAGTTTCTTATTGATTATTCGAAGAATGAGATTGAATATGAAGAAAATATGGAAAAAAGTCTACAAAAAATTTAAATACTAATTCGATTTTTGATATATTTATCGTTTCGATATGAAGTTCTTACAAGAAAAATACACGAAATATACAGATCTTTGCATGACAAAGAACTGTTGCTTGACAACCGAACTAGATGGAACAATGTTTTTCAAATGATTAAAAGATTTTTGGATTGCTTAGAAGCTGTAAAAAAAAAACAATCGAAGAGCTAAACTGCTTAAACATGTTACGTGAAATTGACTTGGATTTCTTAAAACCACGCTAAAAGCAAACAAGAAGAATCATCACAATGAACTTTTTTTTTTTTTTTGCCAAAATTCTAGAAGTTCTAAATCTAAATTAATCAGCAGCTAAAAAGCCAAAAAATTCATACTCTTCACCGATCAGTTGAAAGAATATAAAGTAACTGGTGTGAAATCAGAAGCAGTTTTGAAATTCGAACTAACCATCCACAGAATTCAAGCATTTTCATCGGAAGTAGAAAGAGTTTACCCCTCGTCTTCCACAAAGTTTCGTAGTTCGCTTTCTGATGAAATGATAGATGTTTTGATCTTTTTAAAATAATATTTAAAAAGATCTTCAGAATAAATACTTTTTTTTTCAATTTTGTTTTCAATTTTTATTATCGGTGCTCCAAGAAGTCTTTATTACATAGCAACGCGGAAGGATATTTAACTGAAAGATCGCGCCTTCTTCCTAACCGATGCCGATTAGAAAGCCAATAATTAGATAAAACTTGTTCGTTAAAAAATTGTGATAAAAAAAATATTTCAGTACTAAAAAATATAAAAATATAAATTTTTTTAAATTTTACTATGAGTTATAAATCGAAATATTTATAATTAAAAAAAAAAATACTAGAACAATGTTTAATTATCAAGTAGATAGTTTAATTTTTTTATTTATAACAAAATATTATCGATTTTTTCTCGACTTCGACGGAGTTTTTTCTCTATTTCTCTCGACTCCGTTTTTTCTCAATTTTGGATCCTTTGCCGTCAATGATTTAATTATTTCATGAGAGGTTGTTAGTGTGCTTTTCTTGTAGACTAGGCCTAAATGAGGAAAGAAAAATAGTGGTTGTCAAGACAGGTTATAATACGTATATTGTATATGGTAAAATACGTCTTCATAGGTACTTTAAAAACGAGGATTTCCTTTATCGCATTGTTAAACCTTTCATAAAACGTATAAAAACATTATGCATTTACGTAAATATGCATTTAAAGTTTGCACTCAAAATATATATATATATATATATTTTAAATATCTTAAGCTACTCTAAATACGCAAGTAGAGTATATATATACTTGATGTCTATTACGCATTATGCACGTGTTTGTGTGAAATGAGTAATTTCTATTCTTTACATAATGGCAACTAGAGGATGTCGAAATTCTCCTGATAAGTTTTGCTATATAAGTAGATATAATAATGGCAAAATTTAGGTAATACATAATACCGTGAAAGGAATCGTTTATAGAGTACGCAAAACATTTTGGAATCCCCATGGGTTTTAATAGTTTAATAATTTTATTTTTGCAGATGAAACTATTTTTTTTTTTTTTTATCAGACTCAAGGTTAAAAAATATTTGTTATTAAGTAAACGCAATAAATATGTTAATGAGTGGTTTTATTGCAAATAAACCTGTGTGTGTGTGTTTGTGTGTTTTTGTGTGTGTGTATGTGTGTGTGTATGTGTGTGTGTGTGTGTGTGCTATGATTTGCCATTAAAACTCTGGTATATAGAACTTAGAATTAAAGAC